ATGCTTCCCAAAGACATCTGCCGTGGGTGCAGATCATGACGGGCATGTAATAAGGCCGCCAAGTGCAGCACAGTCAACAGCTCTGCAGTGATAATACCAATTAGTGACAGCACGAAGGGCGTCATTTATTTTGGAGTGAATTCCAAGTCAAGACACTGCGGAGGTACAGATTATCACAACCCATGACAGACAGACCCCCGGCAGGCGGACAGCTCCAGGAGTTACACAATCTAGAGGTTTTTCAGCCATACTTTGTAAAATTCTGCTGAATTCCACATAAACTGTATATGAAATATGGAGGGAGCATGAGCTATGTGGTGCTGCAGTGGGCACGCATTGTTCTTAAACACGGTTTAACGCATGTTACAACTTCACTCTGAAAGACCAAAAACAGCCCAAAAAAACCCAGCTGTGTGTAGCACGCCACCAACACCCACATGTCCTTCAGTTTTCAGGCCCCTCTTCTGTGGAACCAGCTGCCAGTTTGGATTCAGGAGACAGACTACAGGGAGTGCAGAATTATTAGGCAAGTTGTATTTTTGAGGAATAATTTTATTATTGAACAACAACCATGTTCTCAATGAACCCAAAAAACTCGTTAATATCAAAGCTGAATGTTTTTGGAAGTAGTTTTTAGTTTGTTTTTAGTTTTAGCTATTTTAGGGGGATATCTGTGTGTGCAGGTGACTATTACTGTGCATAATTATTAGGCAACTTAACAAAAAACAAATATATACCCATTTCAATTATTTATTTTTACCAGTGAAACCAATATAACATCTCCACATTCACAAATATACATTTCTGACATTCAAAAACAAAACAAAAACAAATCAGCGACCAATATAGCCACCTTTCTTTGCAAGGACACTCAAAAGCCTGCCATCCATGGATTCTGTCAGTGTTTTGATCTGTTCACCATCAACATTGCGTGCAGCAGCAACCACAGCCTCCCAGACACTGTTCAGAGAGGTGTACTGTTTTCCCTCCTTGTAAATCTCACATTTGATGATGGACCACAGGTTCTCAATGGGGTTCAGATCAGGTGAACAAGGTGGCCATGTCATTAGTTTTTCTTCTTTTATACCCTTTCTTGCCAGCCACGCTGTGGAGTACTTGGACGCGTGTGATGGAGCATTGTCCTGCATGAAAATCATGTTTTTCTTGAAGGATGCAGACTTCTTCCTGTACCACTGCTTGAAGAAGGTGTCTTCCAGAAACTGGCAGTAGGACTGGGAGTTGAGCTTGACTCCATCCTCAACCCGAAAAGGCCCCACAAGCTCATCTTTGATGATACCAGCCCAAACCAGTACTCCACCTCCACCTTGCTGGCGTCTGACTGGAGCTCTCTGCCCTTTACCAATCCAGCCACGGGCCCATCCATCTGGCCCATCAAGACTCACTCTCATTTCATCAGTCCATAAAACCTTAGGAAAACCAGTCTTGAGATATTTCTTGGCCCAGTCTTGACGTTTCAGCTTGTGTGTCTTGTTCAGTGGTGGTCGTCTTTCAGCCTTTCTTACCTTGGCCATGTCTCTGAGTATTGCACACCTTGTGCTTTTGGACACTCCAGTGATGTTGCAGCTCTGAAATATGGCCAAACTGGTGGCAAGTGGCATCTTGGCAGCTGCACGCTTGACTTTTCTCAGTTCATGGGCAGTTATTTTGCGCCTTGGTTTTTCCACACGCTTCTTGCGACCCTGTTGACTATTTTGAATGAAACGCTTGATTGTTCGATGATCACGCTTCAGAAGCTTTGCAATTTTGAGACTGCTGCATCCCTCTGCAAGATATCTCACTATTTTTTACTTTTCTGAGCCTGTCAAGTCCTTCTTTTGACCCATTTTGCCAAAGGAAAGGACGTTGCCTAATAATTATGCACACCTGATATAGGGTGTTGATGTCATTAGACCACACCCCTTCTCATTACAGAGATGCACGTCACCTAATATGCTTAATTGGTAGTAGGCTTTCGAGCCTATACAGCTTGGAGTAAGACAACATGCATGAAGAGGATGATGTGGACAAAATACTCATTTGCCTAATAATGCTGCACTCCCTGTATCTCTACTTTTAAGATTAGGCTTCAAACTTTCCTTTTTGCTAAAGCATATAGTTAGGGCTGGACCAGGTGACCCTGAATCCTCCTTTAGTTATGCTGCAATAGATGTAGGCTGCCGGGGATTCCCATGATGCATTGGGTGTTTCTTCTTCACTCACTATGTGTTAATAGACCTCTCTGCATTGAATCATATCTGTTATTAATCTCTGTCTCTCTTCCACAGCATGTCTTTATCCTGTCTTCCTTCTCTCACCCCAACCGGTCGCAGCAGATGGCCCCACCCCTCCCTGAGCCTGGTTCTGCCGGAGGTTTCTTCCTGTTAAAAGGGAGTTTTTCCTTCCTACTGTCGCCAAAGTGCTTGCTCATAGGGGGTCATGTGATTGTTGGGTTTTCTCTGTATGTAGTATTGTAGGGTCTACTGTACAATATAAAGCTCCTTGAAGCAACTGTTGTGATTTGGTGCTGTGTAAATAAAATTGAATTGAAAATTGAATGTCCATGCAAACAAAAATTACACAGTCCAGCAGTGTGCCAGATCCAATTATTTTAGAAGGCTTCTTAGTCTGTCGTCATGCTAGCAGGGATCCCATTATTTAAAGGTGCCTAAAGGATTTAATTATCGGTTCGGCTTCTGCTCCTGAGCAACAGTTGTGCTGAATAACAGCAGGCTTATAAAGCTCAGAAAGTGCACATAGTCATTATGTTATTCACATAAAACAAAGACAGATGCCAACAGGAAACAGGGAGGGAAACAGTAATGAAGAGCAGTGCTGTTAGGAGGGAAACAATGCTACCAGTGCACATGCTCCAGGAAAACCGTTCACAGTGTACACCGACGCACGAAACAAGTCACCAAGGCCACTGAAGTGTGGCTCAATCACACGTGCTGACAGGGTTTCCTACTCTGCAGTGACACTTTGTTTAATACTGCACTGTCATATTTTGGTTTTGGTGACCTCGGCTTTTTGTTGCTGCACAAACGTCTTACTCCATCCTGTAAGAGCCTTTAGTCAGTCCACCATGTAACTGTCACAGCCAGACAGTAACACCTCTGTCCGTATTATCAACTCGGACTTATGTGAACCGTTCCATAAAGGCATTGTGTTCCTGCCATCATGATCACAAGCTCCATAAATCCTCAGAAGGGGAAATTCAAGTTTTGGAGCATCGAGAATCAAACCAACATGATGTTTTCTAACATTGGCTGGGATAGATCTGCTGCCAAAGCCTTATGGAATCTATTTAGTGACACAGAGAGGAAAACAGGATGATGTGTTCCTTCAGTGTGTCCGTGGTTGTGTAATATCTTTAAGCCTTTTCTCTTCAAAGTTCAGCCTTAAACAAGGGCTCCACTCAGATCCTGGAGCTGCATGTTTGCATTAATCAAAACAACCCCCCAACATTGGAAACTCACATGGGGGCATTCTTTATTGGATGCAGGAGTCTGTTGGGAAGATGGTCCACCCAGTGTTTGCGTGACGTTACAGAGTGAGCTCTGTTTTTAGGCTCTGTGTGACCAGGACAGGATGGACTGTTGTCTCCACTGAACACCTCTATAGTGGCTGCTGCACATCTGTATGAGAAACACAGGAGCAGCAGTCCTGGGACTTACATCTTTCCTCTTCCTTTCATTTCTAATCCTGTCCATCCCGGTCAATCCCAGTGAATCTCTCCCACCTCCAGCTCATTACCATCTTCTGAATATTTGCTTTCACAAATCACCCATGATACTCATCTGCACCTACTCCACTCTGCCTGCACGCTCTTCTTCTGTCTGTTGTTGGATGGTTGACTACAGGCATTTAAACTCTTCTCTGCTCCTTGTAGCTGCCCGTGCCTCTGTCTCATTCACACTCATTATTCTGTCATATTCTGCTGATTTTCATTCCTCTCTCTCCAGATCTTACCTCCACCTCTCAGCGGTCTCATCCACCTGTATTAGAGCGATTAGAGCACGCTGTAGGTATTACAGGTACTGCGCTGCAGTGGTTTGTATCATATCTATCTAATAGACTTCAATTTGTGCATGTAAATGGAGAGTCCTCTTCACACACTGAGGTTAATTATGGTGTTCCACAGGGTTCAGTGCTAGGACACATTCTGTTTACATTATACATGCTTCCCTTTGGCAGTATCATTAGAAGAAATAGCATAAATTTTCACTGCTATGCTGATGACACCCAGCTCTATCTATCTATGAACCCAGATAACACACACCAATTAGTTAAACTGCAGGAATGTCTTAAAGACATAAAGAGCTGCCTTCCCACCCTCATCAAAGTGTTTGCTCATATGACTGATGTATTACTGTAGGGTCTACTGTACAACATAAAGCACCTTGAGGCGACTGTTGTTGTGATTTGGCGCTGTATAAATAAAACTGAATTGAATCTGATTGATCCTGCTCCCTGCTCTGGCAGATCCCACTGTCCTTTGGGAACATCAGTGTCTATGGATAGTTGTGACCTCACTAGCTGTCTATCGCTGCTGCAAACTAGAGGAGCTCAGAGCCGACCCCGATGTAATCCCACCCACACCTTGAACCATATGTTACTCCGTCTATCATATGGTATGATCCACAAAGACACAGGACAACCTGTGTTTAAGCTGTGATATTATTATGTTTTCACTGCTGCACACAGCGCTGAATGCTCCGTATAAGAAAAACAAAGACTTATTCTGAACTGGGAATCATGCAAAGCTACTCTAAGGGAGTCCAAGAACAAAAATATGGAGTTATCTGTGAGAACCCTCCATACAGTTCTTCTGAGTGCTTGATGATGGCAGTAACTGATCACAGTAAAGAGTTATCATCATGTACTGACAAAACAACAGTCATGCTTACGTTAAGACAGACGTGCAGTTCCACACATGAAACTTTATTCACATAAGCTTGACTTTAATAAAGGCTGTGTTTGAGCTGAAAAGCAGTACTTACTCATCGTCTGGTGTTAGCTGCACTGGTTCATTAGTAAACTGCGTGTCAAAGTTTTCTAGGCCGTACTCATCAGAGATTTGAGGTTTGAAGGGCGGCGTCACTTCTTTCTTCTCCAGCTGAGTGAAAACAAACAGAGTGTATTACATATAACAGTTGCTTTTACTCACTGAGAGTGGAGCCATGAAGTCAAATAAAAAAGGCACATTTTCACAAGTGTAGACACCCCCACACCCACATTTCCACAGTGGAGGAGTTTATGTGTCCCCTCTGATCCTGGGAGCTGTGTTATCCAGGGAAACAGCCCCTGGTAGGGTCTGACATGTCCACTTGGTCCCGGGGAGGCAGGGAGGGAGGGGGCGAGGCAAAGAGCAAAACCCAGTGAGTGATTCTGTGTGAATCAAAATCACCAAAAAGACAAAGGACTTAATGGTACATATTTGACATCCATCATCAGTGTGTGATAGCCTGATGTCACTGAATAGGTAACGTGAAAGCACAAACATATTCTAACACATCTGCACCAACATTTGGCCAGATGTGAAACAGTGAAACAGAAGCTTGGGCTCGTGTTGCTGTATTTCTGTGTAGCGATGAAGCCAAACAACAGAACGAAGAAGGTTGAGGCAGCAGAATAATTATGCCTGAGTGATTCAGCCAGAGTTTTTGTCTGATTTGTTTCCATGGTTTCACATTCGTCCCTCATCCTGTTCAAATGTGCGCTGAGGACATTTTCTAAGAACACAATGAAGTCAGACGGGCACAGAAAAACCACAGGTACCCAGCTTCGCTCGTCATGCTGCGTTTCACTGTTTTCTCTTTAGAAAGCTGGGTGAAAAGAAGCCCTAAAATAGATGTGACCATCTGGGATTTGGAGGCTGTGCCAGACCACGGGTACCATTTTCTTATAGTTGAACATTAATTAATGACCATATTACGTGATGTCATAGATCAAGGTGTGTGCCCAGCCTCATGCTTCACACAGTGAACATGAGCTCCAGCTATTCTGCCAAAAAAGTTGTATTCTTATTTTAAAGTATTTTAATGTCTACACTGGATCAGTGGGGACGCACAACCCACAGCATCTGTGTTCTGAGACACTGCTGCTGGAGACATTTCCATTTTATCCACTGTGTGTCATCAGTGACACATACTGGTTCTCCTCCACTGAGTCAAAATGGTGATCTTTCAAGTGGGATTTCATTTAAAACAGAGAATCACAGAAGCTAAATGTGGTGTGTAGGAAGGGTGATGAGCGTCAATTGTGTTGGTGTGGTTGAAAAACTCTGAGCAGGTGGACTGTTCGAGGAGGGCTGATTGAGCCTTACCACTGTTCAGATGGTTCCGGCTTACTGTTGGTGGGAGGAGTCTGAATGATGATGATGCTCCTTGTAAAGGCTGAATCATCCAAGACTTTTACACACTGTGTCTGGTGTTATGTACCTACAAGAGAATCTCGATGTTTAACATTTGACACCATGTGAAATCCAGACTTCCAAAAGCCTGCAGGAAACTGCAGCTCCTCTCCAAGAATGAGTCTATTGTCACCTCCACTGCATTAAAAACCATCTTTATGACCTGATACAGGAGCCAAACAAACGGTTTCCCATCATAGGAACTCTGTGGAGGGCATGTTCTCCACACCAGGTGGTGTGAAAAACATTACAGATGAAGAACATTACAGACATTACAGATGTGACAGGCAGCTGTCTGTAGGCCTTACATTCAGGACCTGGACTCACAAAAACCTGGCCCTGATCACAGGGTGGGTCAATCCTGGGAACCAGCCAGCTGTGGTGCTTAGCTGTGATTACTGTGTGTGTGTGTGTGTGTGTGTGTGTGTTTTAGTAGTTGATGCACTTCTCTAATGTTATTGGTTCAAAGTGTTTTCAGCTTCAAACAGATAAACACCAAATAACTCACTTTGTATGTTTTTCTATCCATCAAATTTGCCCACATTCTCCCAAACACACACACACACACACACACTCTCTCTCTCTCTATTTGTTCATTTCTTTTTCAGGTTTTCGGCGCCTACCTACACACTCTGTCAGTTTCACCCCCTCACATCCTGTCTCCATCTTTCTCCTCTCGCCTCTATCTTTCTTACTCATTCTCCATTCTTTTATCTTGTTACACTGCTCTCCTCTCTCCTCCTACTTTCCCCACTCTTTCTGATGTGTTGCTGGGCAAGCTTAATCACTGTGTGTTGGTAATGAAGTGAAAGCCTGGAGTGAGCCCACACACACACACACACACACACACACACACACACACACACACAGGATCTGAAACATTAGTACTACACACATGTTGAAGTGTGGGAAAAGTGTCCCTGAGACCACAGTGGAAGATAAAAGAGGTCAGTGAACGTCAGGGCTGTGCAGGTGCCTGAGATCACAACACTGACCGTGTGTGTGTGTGTGTGTGTGTGTGTGTGCAGGCGTTAGTGTCAGTGACGAGCTGTCACACATGTCTCTCTCACATGTGTAAAATGACGGTGTGCCACGCTCGCTGTCTGAGTGCTGCTCTCAGCCTCTCCATCATTCTCCAAAACAAGAAGGACAACATCAGGGAGGCCAGTCACCATTCATTTACTGTTGGTTTGTTTTTTATCAGTGAACATCCCACAAAGAAACGTCCTGCATTGTTGGTCCACAGCTGGAGACAAAGGGACCCCACGGCTGTGAGACCCTCTGTGTTTCATCGAACCTTTGAAATGTGGGAGGAGCTGTGACAGCAGTAGCTGGGCACCTACCTGGGTCTCGTGTCAGCCTTTGCTGCTCACTACTTCTAACTTCACATTTGGCCTTGGACTAAAATAAAAGAACTGTGGAGAACGGACGTGTTACAGAGAGAAAACTTCCCTCAGGAAACATGTGATGAATATTAATATGTGGTAACACAGTGGTGGTACACCACACCTGTCAGGTCCTGAGACAGGTCTGAGGGCAGAGAGCGTTACCTCTCCAGCTCGCTCAGCTCGCTGTCTCTCTGCTCTGTGTGGACTCTGCTCAGGAGCTCTGCTTCCACACATCACCCACTGTGTCCTTGGTGTGCACACAGACAGACACACAGACTTTAAAAAGTTTAAAAAAATATCCTGATACATAGTTTTTTTTAATGTGATACTTAGAGATCAACATTTCCATATGCACCATCGTGAAACTGACAACACAGCTGTGTTTGCTGTTTGTCATGTATCATCCAATGAAACCGCTGAAAACCGTCAGCCTCCAGTCTGCATGGTAAGGACCTCCGACATCGGGCCTCCGACATCGGGCCTCCGGGGTAGTTCACGTCTCACTACTCCAGGTATCATGTCTTCTAATAGTACAGTGGGGCAAAAAAGTATTTAGTCAGCCACCGATTGTGCAAGTTCCCCCACTTAAAATGATGACAGAGGTCAGTAATTTGCACCAGAGGTACACTTCAACTGTGAGAGACAGAATGTGAAAAAAAAAATCCATGAATCCACATGGTAGGATTTGTAAAGAATTTATTCATAAATCAGGGTGGAAAATAAGTATTTGGTCACCTCAAACAAGGAAAATCTCTGGCTCTCACAGACCTGTAACGTCTTCTGTAAGAAGCTTTTCTGTCCCCCACTCGTTACCTGTATGAATGGCACCTGTTTGAACTCATCATCTGTATAAAAGACACCTGTCCACAGCCTCAAACAGTCAGACTCCAAACGCCGCCATGGCCAAGACCAAAGAGCTTTCGGAGGACACCAGGAAAAGTATTGTAGACCTGCACCAGACTGGGAAGAGTGAATCTACAATAGGCAAGCAGCTTGGTGTGAAAAAATCAACTGTGGGAGCAATCATCAGAAAATGGAAGACATACAAGACCACTGATAATCTCCCTCGATCTGGGGCTCCACGCAAGAGCTCATCCCGTGGGGTCAAAATGATCATGAGAACGGTGGGCAAAGATCCCAGAACCACACGGGGGGACCTGGTGAATGACCTGCAGAGAGCTGGGACCAAAGTAACAAAGGTCACCATCAGTAACACACTACAACGGCAGGGAATCAAATCCCGCAGTGCCAGACGTGTTCCGCTGCTGAAGCCAGTGCATGTCCAGGCCCGTCTGAAGTTTGCCAGAGAGCACATGGATGATACAGCAGAGGATTGGGAGAATGTCATGTGGTCAGATGAAACCAAAGTAGAACTTTTTGGTATAAACTCAACTCGTCGTGTTTAGAGGAAGAAGAATACTGAGTTGCATCCCAAGAACACCATACCTACTGTGAAGCATGGGGGTGGAAACATCATGCTATGGGGCTGTTTTTCTGCCAAGGGGACAGGACGACTGATCCGTGTTAAGGACAGAATGAATGGGGCCATGTATCGTGAGATTTTGAGCCAAAACCTCCTTCCATCAGTGAGAACTTTGAAGATGAAACGAGGCTGGGTCTTCCAACATGACAATGATCCAAAACACACCGCCCGGGCAACAAAGGAGTGGCTCCGTAAGAAGCATTTGAAAGTCCTGGAGTGGCCTAGCCAGTCTCCAGACCTCAACCCCATAGAAAATCTGTGGCGGGAGTTGAAAGTCCGTGTTGCTCGGCGACAGCCCCAAAACATCACTGCTCTCGAGAAGATCTGCATGGAGGAATGGGCCAAAATACCAGCTACTGTGTGTGCAAACCTGGTAAAGACCTATAGTAAACGTTTGACCTCTGTTATTGCCAACAAAGGTTATGTTACAAAGTATTGAGTTGTATTTTTGTTATTGACCAAATACTTATTTTCCACCCTGATTTACGAATAAATTCTTTATGTAGCACCCAACTCAAGTAGCTCTGGATTAACCCTCGGTTAAGATGGTGATAGTACTCTGAGCGGGGCCCTGGGTACGTTACTTATTTTATTGGTAAACAGGAGAAACGATAGCTAACCAGTTTTAACCTTTGTACTTAGAAATCTTAATGTTGGCGGTGCCTCCACTTAGTGAAAATAAGGAGTTCTGTCTAATCTTCACTAAGAATAATGAATTTATCTAACATGTTAAACCTCTCTTTTACCTTTAGTAACCCTTATCACTTATAAACTCTGTAAATCATAAATATGACACAACACAACTTTAAATTCAACATGTAAGATTTAGTCCA